CCTTCAAGACAATACACGCCCCCATGTGGCCAAAACAACAATGGAAACCCTTCTGAAATTGAAATGGAACCTTCTGACACATCCGCCGTACAGTCCTGATTTGGCCCCAAGTGATTTCTACCTGTTCGGAAGGCTCAAATCAGACTTGCAAGGCATGTGGTTTGTGGACAATGACGCCGTCATCCAGACTGTTCGGGAGTGGATACGTCGCTAACCACAAGTCTTTTTTTTTTTTTTGGGCATCAGGATGCTTCCAGAAAGTTGGAAAAAATGTGTTGACTCTGGAGGGGAGTACGTTGAAGATTGACATGTGCAAGTAAGTGTTTGGCAATTATGTTTTTTTTTATCAGTCCCAGTTGTATTTGAACCACCTTGTATTATATTACATTTGAATTTACATGCTTTTCACATATAATTTCCTTATAGACCTACTAGATCGACCAAAAATCATCCCGCAATCAACATGTTGGACATGCCTGATATACATCAGAAGGGCTCCCTGACTGTTGTGGCTGTGAGCATTGTGTTTATATAGCTTCACACTTAAATTAAAATGAATTTGATTTTTGCAAGCTTGATCTCAGAATTAACGTAAATGACACCAGGTTCAAAACTGTATGCAGCATAGGCACCATAGTCATGTCAGTAGCTTGTCACGGTGCGTGAACTTTTATGCTGTGGACTAGTGACAAGTGTCTTTCTATGGCTTGTGACCATCCTGCCCAATCTTTATCATGGTGGTTAGTAGTACATCTGTTTTGTAATCTAAGTATAGGGCAAACTTTCCTTGGATTTTTCACAGTTTTCCTAGATGATGCTACAGTAGTGCCTTAAAATAGACTATGATAACTTTCTTCCATATCTTTTTTTCACTTATTAGTCATAATTATTCTATTATTTGATTCCTTGCATGCTTCACAGTTCCTGAGGCATTGTTACGAAAACAGACTGAAAAATTCACAGTCTGGGAAGAAAGAAATGTGTTTTAAAAGTGATATTTTTGTTGTTGTTGCTTGTATTTTCATGCAGAAAGCACACTTGGAAGAGAGATTATTGTCCTCTTGGATTAATATAACTATGGTGATGATAATGTTCTTGAGGTTGACACAGATTAATCACTGTGCTTAAGACATTCCATGACAGATCATCACAGTCCACAACTTAGTCATCCCGATTTTCGGTGAAAGTTGAAGACTGTAGAAAATGCTATTATTGCAGAAGTTTAGTGCCCTGTGCCTTGCAGATTTAAGTAGGGGTGCAAAAATCATAAGTATTGGTGTTTTTTGGTATGCCACCTCCACTAATAATTATCATAACTTTTGTTGTGTTTGGGACTTGGTTAAGCCAATGAAATGCTCTTTTCACAAGTATATAACACATTCAGATTGAGTAGTTTTGGTTTCATCACCTGATGTAACATTTGACCTTCAGTTTCTCACAATATATATTTTTTTTTTTAAAAAAGATTTGATTCGTGTTGTAGAAAAATATCATCCCGGGACAGCTGTCTGATCTGTAATAAAGTCATGACACTGCAGACCCTCAGGACTTCTTCATTGAACATGTTGCACCCTTTTCTTGGTTTTCTAACTGTGGTTCATCTCTCTGAAGGCATCAATCTTTTTTGATCCCTTGTAGCAGTGTAACGCGCCATAATTTACTCGTGACAGTGAATCTTTTTGCACATTAAATGTACACATCACTGTTTATTATAAAGGTAAATTTTCCCTCTGCTTAATTAAGCAGTATGCCATGAAGACATATGCAGGAGTAGAGGTATAGTTCCACCATTGTTGAGATTGGCACTGTATGGAGTTGAGTGGTCAGCTTCATGCCTCAACTGCTTTACACCTTGGGAAATTGCCTCTGCAGTGCCTATTGAATAAGAGGCTGGGTGGGTCCCAGAACTGGTCTGGACACTGTGGAGGAGAGAAAAATCTTGGCTTTGCCAGGAATTGAACACTGACCATCTGACCCATAGCCCATCGCTATACTGACAGAGTGTCTCTGAATAGTTGCTGCTAAATGTTTTACAGGAGTGAAATCAACTAAGAAATATATAACTACCTAGAGATACAACCAATTTGAGGGAGGATGTACTGTTTATAGGAAGAATATAAGAAATATTCTTCCAAGGGTGACTGAAAAGAATGTCGTCTTTAAAAAGTGACCATGAGGGTTGGTTATTACAGTTACAGCAGTTGTTACAGCATCTGACTTAAGAGCCTTACATTCTTGTTACGTGCAACATATTTTTGCCCAGCAATGGTGTAGTAATCGTACTCCATGGAGCTGAGTTCTTGAGAAGCCACCAGTTGCTCAGCTACTGAAGAATGTCCCACCATTTTATGGAACCTGAAGGTTTATTACCATGGTCACAAGAGCCCTGCAATATTCCCTACCCCGAGCCAGATAAATCCAGTCGATATCACGCCATCCTATTTCTCAAGGATCTGTATTAATATTGTCACGTGTGTGATTGTGACTGTAGATGGGGTTTGGATTGGTAATTTGATTTATTGAACACTTACAGATCATAACTGCAAGTAACTGTAGAGCTATTGCTAATTCACACACACTGCAGTTTACTACAGCATGTACTAAGCCTTCTCATTCTGCTGTGTCTTCAGTTGTCTGAGGACAGCTTCCAACAGCGTAAATTACCCTTCACCTGGGTGCCTGAACTGTCTCTGTGCCTCAGCTACTAGCTTCAATGCAGCAGTCCACTCCCTCACTCACTCACCAACCAACTGGCTCCACTCCATTACATTGCACTAAGTAACTCAGTTGGTCAAGTGATATAGCCCAGAGCGGACCACAAAGAAAACACCACTTCCAACAGTACTTGCACTGTTGCATGCAGGCCACTGCCTAGCAGTGGCTCCAGTATTGTTGTGTATTTATGAAGCTGTTGCATAGTAGTGGTCATTGTCTTGTTATTTGTTTCATGGCCATTGCCTGGCAACGGGTCTATATGCCACATTACTCCCTCCCTAAGGCTGTTCGTCCTGAAGAGCCTACTGGCTGCCATTTCTTTTTTTACCAAGGACTGTGCTTGTAATAATTTTGTTTAATTTGCTGGGGGGGGGGCGTGTAGTCCAACTGGGTCCACTCGGCATGGTGGCCACTGATTGGCCTATTATACCAGACCTGGATGATTATGATGATGGAGAATTTGTTGGAATGAAGATTGGCAGGGGAAACCGAAGTTCTCAGAGAAAACCCTCCCCAGCACCACTTTGTCCACCACAAATCCCACTTTACCAGCCCCAGGATCGAACCCGGGCCGCAGCGGTGGGAAGCCAGCGACTAACTGCTTGAGCTATGGCGCGGCCCATGAGGACTGTGCTTGTAACATCTGTGATTGATCTTGCCTTCCTTGTAGCACGGTTCTCATGGTGATTACTCTCCAACTACTCTTGCTGTTCCCTCCTCAAGGCTGCTCATCCCTAGTGGTTCCCTGATAAGGTGCGAGCCAATCCAGGTGTACCACCCTCATCTTCCTCCGGTCAGTGCGGGCAGAAGTTCGAAGAGTGGTTGATGCTCCTGTGTGGAGGACGATTAAGCAGCTAGTAGTCCCCTCTTTCATTTGGGCAATGACCAGCTCCTCCACAGTATCTTAACACCCATTTTTCAAATTCTCATGGAAGACCCAACAGTGTGCTTCACAGTCTCCATCCTGAAAGTCTGCCTGATGGTCTTGATGAGTGCCCTCTTGCTTCCTAAATGTAGCTGCCCTTTTAGACCTTAGTCCCATATGCTGCTGTTGCATTCCAGTTATGCATGGCGTCTCTTCCTGAGTGTCCTTCCTTTAGTTGCTCCTTGTATGACATTGTCCATGCTTGGTCCCTGACATCCTTGTCCCTTGGCTGGTGCAGGAATGGCCTGGCGGTCAACTGTCCTCGAGCAGTTGGCAACTTCTGCCAGGAACCACCATCGCTGTGGGTCTGTCTATTCAGCTATGGGTGGTGCCCTGCGGCTAGATGCCAGTCCCCATATCGGTCCACCAGTGTTCCAATAGTTTGCACTGCAGCCTCTTCCTTAGGGACTTCTGCTGCTCCTCTGTGGCCTCCAAAATTGTGGTGTCCATTTTGTTCAACATTTCTTCAAAGAGGTCCACCATGGCCTCCATTTTCTGTAGCTGGGAGTCCCATCCTGGTCATCATCTTTTCATGATGGGCATCTGACTTGGCCAGCATTTCTTTTTTCAGATGTTTTTGGCCAGCTTTCATTTCTTTTAGGTTCACGTCCATTTTTACTTGTTTGGCGTCTGTATTGGCATCCAGCTTTTCTGTGGCCACTACCAGATGTTCCATCATTTGTTCAATTTTTGTAGGCGGATGATACAACCAACCAGTACAGTCATCAGTCCAGTCCCACTTCTGACACACGTTGTTACATGTATGAATGTGACAGTAGACAGGGTTTTGATTGGTAATTGGATTTATTGAATACTTAGAGATCGTAATTATGAGTAACTATAACACTGTCGCAAATTCACACACACTGCAGTTCACTACAGTATGTACTATGTCTTCTCAGTCTGATGTGTCCTCACCAGTCGTCTGGTAACGACTTTCAGTGGGAGGTTTTCCCCTTCCTCTGGGTTCCCAGACTGTCCCTATGCCTCAGCAACCAGCTTCAACACAGCAGTCCTCCAACTCACTCACTCTCACCAACCAACTTGCTCCACTCCAGTGCACTGCACTAACTAACTCTGTCCACTGAATGATATGGCCTCGTAGGAGACCACATAGAAAACACCGCTTCCAACAGTACTTCCATTGTTTGCATGGGCCTCTGCCTAGCAGTGGTGCCAGTTCTCTTGCATATTTACAAAGCTGTTGCCTAGCAGTGGCCGTTGTCTCGTTTGTTCCTCAGTCATTGCCTAGTAACGGGTCTATATTCCACAGTATTATCCTCCTACCTACATCTAGGTCTTCCTAGTGGTCTCTTTTCTTGGCGTTTAACTCTAAATTTTTTAATTTTGCTTTTTATAGGTCACAGTTCCAAGAGATCTAAGACTGGGAGGAAAGTGAAATCTTACGGTAATGTAACAATCATCTCAGTTTCAGTTCATCATAGTTATAAAATTGAAACCTTTTTTATACTTTTTTGAACAGTTTCTCCAGAGAGTCATTTTAACGCATCCCTTATGATTTATAGGAGTGACTGTTTTCTGAGTATTCTGAAATGGCAGTGTTACTTTATTATAGACAGCCTTTTATCATAAATGGTTATAAGTTTAATCATGATATCCAAACAAGAACAGGGACTTTGCCCTCAATAAAGTGACACACAGTATTTGCTGACAGTATTGTATTACTTTATGACATTGGTTCTCACACTTTTAGCTGGAGGCACCTTATAAGTATATACAGGGTGATTCACGAAGTTTTACCCCCACTTAGGGAGGGCATTCCTGAGGTAATTTAGAACAAAAAAATTTAATATACTAATTGTATCCAACTCATAATTAAATAGATACAGTAATTTGAAAACTGGTGAAAAATCTTTTTTTTTCTTCAAGTTTCAGTCAAAACAAATTAGAAATACAATACAGACACCTTTTAAATCGTTAATGTTTTAGTAAAGAAGCATTGCAAAACCATTTTTTTTTCAGTTTCTTAATTTTGCATTGTGCAACTTTTTCATCGATTTTATATTACAAAATTACATTATTTTCAGCATCCCATTCTGTAAACATATCAATGGTTGCATATCACACCCTTCTATCAGTCTGTTTCCTTTTAAATGTAGTGCTTTAGAAGACAACTGGATTTACATAAGATTTTCGAAAATGTCTCCCTGCACGTCAACACAATGCGTCACATGCGCATGAACCGGGCTTGTAGCATTTTGCAGTTCCACACGTTTGTCCCTTATTGTCATCGCCGTGTCCAGAATACATTCAAGCAATGCTTCACGTGTTTGTACCTTTACCTGGTACACAATGTCCTTCATCCAGCCCCAAATGCAATAATCTAACGGTGTTAGATCGGGTGACCTTGGAGGCCAGGTGTTATGGCCTCCGCGACCAATCCACCGCTGTGGGAAATGCCGATCCAAGTGAGCTGCTACTGCGCGGGAGAAGTGATGGGTGCCCCGTCATGCTGAAAGTACATCCGACGTATTGTTGCTGGAGGAACATCTTCAAATAACTGTGGTAATTCTTCTAAGAAGTGGAGGTAAATCTCACCAGTTAAGTGGCCAAGAAAAATGAACGGCCCGATTAGCTGATCATACAGAACTCCACACCAGACATTGACACTGAGTCGGTGTTGAAAATTCGATTCTATCGTGGCACGGGAATTATTGTCTGCCCAAACATGTAAGTTGTGACTGTTGTTGACCCTGTCACGTGTAAACTGTTCCTCATTGCAGAACATTATCAAGCTGTACAACTGCCGATTTCCATTTAATCAGTATCAGAACTGCAGATGAAGAGCACGGTCTCCTGGTTGTAGGTGTTGTACTTGCTGTAAATGATAAGGATGCAGCCTGTTCTCATGAAGAGTCCTCCACGCCATGGACTGAGAAACACCAAACTGCCGAGCTAGACGTCTTGTACTGGCACGCGGACTGTGCTCTACAGCATCGAGAATGTTTTCTTCTTTGCACAATTCATGTTGAGGATTTTGTTCATGTTGTATACGAACGCTGGGGAGAGAACCAGTTTGTCTTAATGTGTTGAATGTACTGGTACTGGATTTAGGTTTTGGAATCCTGCAATTAGGATAACGCCGGTGATATTCGGCAGCAGTGGCTCTCGCATTTCCATCACATACACCCAAAACAAACACCATATTGGCGTATTCCTCAGTGGAAAATGTGTACGGCATCTTAACTTCACAAAATCACCAACGCAACGTCCTGTTTACTACTGGATCGCTCTGCCTAGGATCGCGCAACATTCTAGCCGGTCTGCCTTATCTGCTGACACGGCTGACTGGAACACGTGGTCGCCCAGGTGGGAAGCTGCATTCACAATGATGTTACTCTGTAACTCTTGACAATCGACCACAAGTTTATAAGGAATTTTGCAGGAAATAACCCCAGGAATGTGTACCACAAGCCGGGGTAAAACTTCGTGAATCACCCTGTATTATAATCGTGGGAACTCCTTGTAGCTTAATAATTTAAGAGATCTAAAAGAATGAACGGAAGTCTTTTAATGTATATTTATTACAAAAGACAAAATAGTAAATTAAATAATATCATTTAAGTAAGACATTTAATGTAAAGGATGGGATTGGTGACATTTATGTATTTCTTTAATGATGGGACAGATTTTATACAAAATATAATCACATTTCATCCTCAGTTGACTTCATTCATTTTCTTCCTTTTTACTTTTCATGTTGACAAATCCGTAGAATCCTCATTAGCACAAATATGACGTGAAAGATGGCATTAAATCTTCACGTGCTCTACCTACTTTCATGGGTATCCAGAGGGAATCAAATGAAGTTTCAGAGTGCTTTAATCATTGCAAATTTCGGTTAACTCTTCTTCTGTAAGACTTAACTTCATTTTTCAGATTCAACAGATGGATTTCTTATCCAGTCATGGCAGTCAACAGATATATTTGGGAAGTAATAATGAATGTTATGCTTTAAAGAAACCAAGTGTTCATGTCTTCATTTTTTGCCAGCAGTTTCTGAAACATATATGTATCACCTTCATTCACATTAATTTCCTACAGTTAAGACTCTTTGAGACTGCAATTTTGTTTGGAGAGGTATGATTGAGGGTTCTGCTGGCTGAGAGATGGGCTTGGGGATGTAAATAGAGGATTATTTTTGGAGATAGTTGTGCCTGTGATATATAAGGAGATATGTTAAGACGTGGGATTCATTTCTGACATAACACTGAACTCTTTCCTTAAAGGACATTACTACAGAAATCTAAACCCATAACCAAATGTGCCCCAGCCGCTTCCAAGGTAGCAGGGTAAAGGAGGCACAACAGGTGTTGAACATGGTTGGATTTATGTATGATATGAGCCCCATATTGCTACATCATGGTAAATGATGGCATTGGTGTGATCTGGTTGCTGTCACTCTACATAGCTAACAACAGAGTAAAGTAAAGTAAAGCAAAGCTGTCCTTGTGCTTATCACCATGCCTTAAAGACACATGGGGAGTAGAGGTATAGCTCCACCATTCTTGACCTTGGCACTAGATTGAAGTGAGTGATCAGCTTCATGCTCCAGCTGATTTACCCCCTCTCCCCCAAGGGAAATAGCGCTTGGTACCCAAGAGAGAGAAGGCTGGGTGGACCCCAGAGCCATTCTGGATGCTGTGGAATGGAGAAGGGTGGACCCCAGAGCCAGTCTGGATGCTGTGGAATTGAGAAAAATCTCTTGCCTCTGCCAGAAATTGAACCCTGGCTATCCAGCACATAGCCAATCATTATACTCATTGGACAATCCTGGCTTCAGTTGCCATCATACAAATAGCATATAATCATTTCCATAAAAGAAACGTTTGAGATGGACCCAAATAGATATATTTTATGAATTCAGTGTACTTGGTTTACTATAAAACACATACATTTCTTCAGACAAGAAATCCATCATGGACCAGTATAGCCCACACTGTTTTGTGGAAAGGAAATATGAATCCCTGTGTTTGTCAATGGCCTATAGTTTGTTTTGGTTTACTTCTAAGTAGGTGGTTTTCATTTGTTTTTTGTTGCCATCTTGCCTTATCAGAGACATAAATTTAGATAGAACTGCAGTGCATGCAGCAGACTCAGCAAAAATGACAGTGACTAACTTGAAAGCTGCCAAAAAATTGGAAGTTAAAATGATGCCTGCAGAATGCTTGCTAAGTCTTCAGAATAACTCATGGTTGAGAATAAAGAAATGTCAACGAGGCACAGTAAGGTCATGCAAAACCTGGTGAATTGAAACAAAATAATGCATATTTTGTGGGAACCAAAATGTTTGAAATGGCAGGAAAGTTAATGGGACTGAAATGGAAAATGATCTACATTACAGGTAAAAATACACTGGTGAAACACATTAGTGTCACGTGATAGAGTGACTATAGACAGGGTTTAGATTGGTAATAGAATTTATAGCACACTTACAGAATGTAACTACAAGTGACTATAACGCTGTCACTAATTCATAAACTCATCAATTCACTATAGTATGAACTAAGTGTTTCTTCACCAGTCATTGCCTGGTAACAGCTGCCTAAAGCAGACATTCCCCTTACTTTGGGTTTCCAAACCATCCCTGTGCCTTAGCTGCTAGCTTCTAACAGAAACAGCACACAACAACTGAACTGCAGTTCTCAAACTAACCGACTAGCTCATCAAAAAGCCTTCACTTCCTTGCACCACACTGAACCAACTGTCCCTAATTGGCCTGCTTATAACATCCCAGCATGGATTGCACAGAAAACTCTTCCTCTGTTGCTGTTCAATTGTTTCTTAGCATGCCACACAGAAAACACTGTTCCTCTGTTGCTATTAAATTGTTGCTTGTTAGGAATTTGTTGCCTAGCAGTGGGCATTGTTTACAGTCATTGCTTAGCAGCGGTACTACATGCTACATTTTTTCCCCCCCTTGGCACTACAGCCCCAGTGGGCCTGGGCCTACCTCATGAACTTCTCTGTTCACTTCAGTTTTTCTAGATCTTACATGTTTGGTAGGACTCCTTGGGCGGGTGATCAGCTCGTCGCAAGGCCTCTACCTGTACACAAACACAGAAAAATGCACAGAAACATCCATGCCCTGAGTGGGATTCAAACCCACGATCCTGGCATTCGAGCGAGCGAAGACAGTGCATGCCTTAGACCGCTCGGCTACTGTGACTGGCACATGCTACATTATGAAGTCTTATTATATACATACTGATTCAGACATGAAATTTTTAGATACTTGCAGGACAGTGATTGGAGAGTTGAATATACTTACTTTCATACTTATATGCTTCTCTGATACATGTTTTTTGTCTTTCCAGATTACATAACAAAGCTTAATTATTTGTTTCGTGATGCACGATTTTTTGTAATCAAAAGCAATAATGCTGAGAATGTGACACTGTCTAAAGCAAAAGGAGTATGGTCTACTCCTCCGCAGAATGAGGCCAAGTTAAATCAAGCATTTAGGGAATCACGCAATGTGCTGTTGATTTTCTCTGTCAAAGAGAGTGGAAAATTTGCAGGTGAGATTTGTTATTTTGTGCTACTGTGATGCAATATATTGATAAATTGGTGTTTTTTCATATAATTCATTTTTTTTTTGTTTTAGGAGTGGCTCGACTGGATTGTGAGTCTCGAAGAGATGTGCCACCCATCTCGTGGGTTCTACCTCCAGGCCTTTCTGCCAAAGCACTGGGTGGTGTGTTCAAAGTGGATTGGGTTTGCAGGTGAGTTTAATATGGCTGTTACAGTTGTGAGCTGGTACTAGTGTATGTACAAATCTATGAAGATGAAGTTCCATACAGTGACCTCCCAGAATATTGACCTTTCCTCCTGAGAGACTGTGTACACTTAACTGGTTAAGGTACAGAAAGGCAAAGCTTAAATGGTGATTTTACTGTTCCCCAAATTAATATGATTTTTGAAGAACAATCTTAAAATTATACATGCAAGTAGTGTGTTAATTTTGTACATAAATTAGTCAGATAACCTCCTTCTGAAAATTAATCGTTGCCCTCAATTTAATTGTCAGTGCTCTTTCTGGTCCTGGTTCTGATTTTAGTTTTATATCAGTGTTTTTGAAGTTTTAGTTAATAATTTCAGGAAAGAGCTACCATTCAACAAGACCCAACACCTGTACAATCCTTGGAATGAAGGGAAACCTGTTAAGATTGGCAGAGATGGCCAGGTAAGCCAATGAAACAATACCACGTGCATAGACTACATTAACATTGGGTGTGGAAATAAATTGTATGTTTGATTGTTGTTGTATTTGCCATGCAGGAAATAGAGCCACGAGTGGCAGAAGAGCTGTGTCGTCTGTTCCCAGTGGATGAAGGAATAGATATGACTCCCATCCTACGCAAGTCAAAGGAAGCTGCAAGACTTGTGAGACCCCATTCAGTGCGACGTCGAGAGGGTCTTCCACCACCGCCACACCTTCGATCGCTGCCTAGATCATTTGGTACACCAGGACGTGCTGGTCACAACAACAACCACCACATATCTGGGAGGTACACAGGACTCTGTAGTAGTTGTTTGGGACTCATGAATCGTTTGATTGAATCGGTCACATATTGGACAGTCACACACATGCGAGTGGCCAAGGCTTCGCTTATCGGGAGTGATGCAGTTGTGTTCAGTATCAGTTGAAACCTCCACGCTGAATGTTGCATGCGAGCCAGTTCTGCCTCGTCTGCCAATAGTTATTATAAGACATTATACATAAGTATATAGGTTCGGCATCCAAGAAAACATGAAGACAACAAGTGTCTAATAGATGTCCTTCCTTCTCCCTCTTCGAACTGTCCTGCCCGAAGGAGACCTCTTCCTTTTTCTTACTGGAACTTTAGAAAATCAAGGTGCACCGTTTTGGGAGAGTGGGTATATTAGCATAATTTGGTTCCACAATTTGTGCATCGTTGGGGTGTGTGGGCATGCCCGGGCAGTGAAATTCCAAGTGAGTGGTTTTTGGTTGGTTCTTTCCCCAGTTAAATAGAACTCTTGTTCACAGGATCTGTTTTAAAATGAATGGTTCTACGTATTGGACTTGAAAGGGCCCATTTTGTTATTACTAAAGAAATATATCAAAAAGAGGACATAGTCTAGCATTTTCCTTGGCGCTCGCTTGAGATGAAGTTGTTGAAGTGTTGTGTCTGCCTGCCTGTTTGTGCCCACAGTGCAGTGCAGTGAACCAAATAGTGCTTTGGATGTTGGAAGAGTGAGTTCGCTTTGTGTTTTACTGGAACTGGTTTTCTTAACATGGCTGCCCTTCAAGTGGTAGGTTATTCACTGTTACTTTCTTTTAAGGGTAACTTGTCATTGCAGTTTGCAAAACAGAAGAATCACATTTAAAATTATTTTTTTCCACAATATGTTTAATTCAGTTTCAGATTGTATGGATATGTCATATGTATTTGCTTTTGCAAGTGAATGCGATTGTAGGATCAAACCATGCAGTGAATATTTCAGATTTGTTTAACTGTAAGATGTGCTTTTGCTGAGAAATTGAATTTAGTGCTGTCAGTCAGGGGACAGATGGTGTAGCACAAGAACTCCTAAGCAATTGTTATTGTACTATAAGAAACTCAGCTTGATTTTTTTTCTGTTTTATTTGGATAGGAAAATTAGGTTCTCACATTCTTGTTTATAGTCTGCATTGTTCAGAGTGTTTACCTTTATAAGCTGATTAGCATCCCACCAGTTGGACAGATTGGATTAGGCTGTAAAGAACATAAAAGCAGCTAGGTAAGTACTGACAAATGCATAACGCATTTGAAATGCGAGAAAAGGCTGATCATTTGAATTGTGGAAATAAATGTTGCAGTAGCATTGACAGTTCACAATTTGATATACTACAGTTAAAAATGGTACGTCTTAATATTTTTTTTAAGTTTTCAAAGTAGTGTTTGGTTAATTCAGTTAAAATTTTTGGAAAGTTGCTTTCTCAGACATTCAGTGAAATCCCTATTTAATGATCTCTGCAGGTTGATTTTATTGCCAAAGATTGAGGTTTCAGTAAATGGGGTCTTTTGGAAAATTACATCTAGAGCTCATTCATCTTATAAGATTTGCTATATATATATATCGATAAAATAATTTATTTACATATGTAGGTCAGGAAACTGTTCCCACATAATGAATACAGTTATACATAATCAGTAATGTCAGATTAATTTCTAAAACAGTTAATGACATGAACTAAATTCTGGAAGATGGAAATTGTCTTTACACAGAGAAGTGAAGTTACATAATAATATAAAATTAATTTTTAAAATCATGAATAACATATGAAATTAAAAAGGTAACAAAATACAGAATTCTGGTCTCAGTATTTAAAATTCCAGTTTTTTCTCTATCATTCATTAATGGTTGATGGTTGTGTGATTGTTCTTTACTGTCATGGTTACATTCACTTATTTGTTCACAAACTGAAATTTTAAATGATAAGATTAACTGGTGCAACAGGATGCTGAAATATAATGTTGCAGAATTCTCATGATGAAATTTACTACCCCACACAAAGCACAGCTATCAAGATTTCAAGGTGACTCTGATGCCACAAGTGATGTGGCTGGTGTGTTTAATATATGATGTCACTTGTCTGTGATTTTGGTTGTGAATATTGAATGTTTATTTCTCTACAGTTGCAATAAATTGAGGTACCAAGTTTCAGATAATCACAGATTTCTTATGTGAGAAGTGGGTTATGTACTGGGTTGAAATTTACTGAATGCAGGAAAGTAGTGTATTGTTTATGTTGGGCTAGGAGCATATAAAATGTTTAGCAAATACAGGATTTGACTAAATGCAAGAACACTAAATTGGGATTTTACTAGAATATCCATTATTTATCTTAACGGGTTTACAGCATACTTATTCTTGATGTATTTTGTGTCGGAGAGTTGCTTGGTAGGTGAACGAATTAGTACTCTTGCCTAGATTGGAATACAGAATGTGCTGGAGGTTTGTATTTTCTTAAGCATGTTTACTCTGAACATTTCGTTATTGTGTGGTGATGATTTAGTTTCTTATGGGATTTTAGTATCCTTTTACTGACATTTCAACATGTGCATCACAAGCAATAATATAATTCATCCAATTGATGATAGGGTTATTTCCGACTTTGTTTCAGGTGCCTGGGATTGTACAGGGAGGATATTTACTTTGTTGACTGGTTCCACACCTCTGCATTTCACGGTGATCAGGGCACTGTTTGCCATGAGGTGCATACAAATCTTGCCGATGAATTAGCATGCCCAACTGATAACATTTGGAATGAAGTAGTTATGATTCAAAGATCACAGGAGATGTTGAAAATGCCGTCCATCTACATGTAGATATCTCTTACAGTTGTTTCATTAAATACCACAGGCTCAACAATCCTTGCACTTATAGCACGCCAGACACCAACTTTCACTGCATGGAGCAGGACTTCATGGTTTTTAGATATGGATTCTGTGAACTCCAGTAGCAATTGTTTTGCACGTATCCCTGTATGTAAAACCGTGCTTCATCAGAAAAGAATGTCAGTTGCAGTTTGATTTCACCTTCGACAACAGACTGTAGAAACCAACTGCAAAAGTGAACCCTTCTAACTGGATTGCGCAGCTGCAGGACATAGGTTACTGTTGTTTTATAGGGTCTAAGCTTCAGCATTTATGTTGCCTTTCTTGCACTAGACTTTGACACTCCAGTCTCTTGAGCTAGACGTTTCAGTGATTTTCTAGGTGTATGACGGCCTCTGTGGTCTAGTGGTCAAGAGTTCCTGGCTAGTGATCCAGAGGTCTGGGTTCGATTCCCAGCGCTACCAGATTTTCTAAGAAGTAGTGGGTCTGGAATGGGGTCCACTCAGTGTCATGAGGATAATTGATGAGCTATGCCAAGGAAATAGCAGCTCCAGCCTAGAAAATCGAAATTAACGGCCGTGGGGATTCATTGCACTGACCACGTGACGCCCTCTATCCGCTAAAGTTGTCACTAACTTCAACAAGCAGCAGTCGCTCAGTCGGTATAGTTCACTTGTGGACTAAAACTGTGGAGTTTGTGTTTTTTGTTTATGTTCAAGCCTAACCCCTATGTCATCTAACTTCTCAGTAAACACTTGGTGCTTATGTTTTTGTTTCTTGACTATTAAGAGCCCTGTTCTAAGTTTATTCACCAAATTATGAATTGTTTGTCTGCCGGGAACTCTTTCATCATGAAATTGACATTGGAATTTTTGCCTACACTTTCTTGCAGACGTATTTGACACAGGTGTCATACAGAAATACACATTGCTCTAAAGTATACCACAGCATGACATACCACACTGTGCATTAGCTGAGAACAACTCACTAATGGAGCTGATAACTGCTGCCTGCTGCTTGCAAATCCCAAACAAACTCCCACGCATGGACTGCTTTGCTACCGTGAAATATGATTGGTCCACAAGTTAATTACTTCCCTTCATTCCAGATGTTATCAGCCATCAGGCATGCTGATTCATCTACAGAATTCTTATGTGCCTTGCAGCAGGTGGCGCCCAGTCGCCGTGAAGAGCAGAGCCATGGAACCAGTCAACAAAGTTAAAAAGCTCTGTACGTGTGGTTTGTATGGGAGGGATATGGTTGTGCATCTGAATTTACAGTTCTTGCCTTATTATACTGCAGTAAAGTTTAACATGAATGTTTTTGATTTTCATAACAGTACAAACAAAATACATTTTGAGATATTTGAGAGGTAATTTAGAAACCGTGTGCTATATCTAGTGCAGTCTGGGTTTCAATTTGTTTCAGAAGTTGGTGGACCATATGTTTCCTGATTCAGCATTGAAACAGTAATTCAGAGGATATTTTGTGATTTGTATCTGGAGTAATCAGAGCTAAGAATACTGATACAGTGGAACCTCGCTTAATGAGCACCTCATAATCAGTAATTCGCATGACGAGCTAAACAAATTGTAAAAAAATGACTCGCTTAACGAGAGACGTTTTGCATAACATATGACGAGAGTGGAAGTTCCGGATTGTGCGCTTCTTACATCAGTCTATGTTTAGCACTCGTTCTGCTAGCATCTTAGTGTCACTTGTGATCACACATTTTTCCAAACTTGTGTTCAGACATATTATTTGTGATTTTTTTTTTGCAAAGTTCCCTTGCAAAAGTGTCCCTGAAGAAAAAGCCACAAAAAGGCAGCCATAAGAGAATAAAAATAACCGTAGAAATGAAACGTAGAATCATTGAAAAGCGAGAACGAGGTGTGAGCGTAGCTGATCAAGCACGCACATACAATCGGTCTACATAAACAATTTGCACAATTTGGAGTTGCATTGTGTTTCACAGCAAGAAGTTGTGGAGGAGAGTTTGTCAGAGGAGGAGGAGGTAAACAGCAAAGCAACAATCTTCTGGCGCAATAAGTGAAATGCTGAAAGCATAGGAAACTGTTGCATTGTACACTGAGAAGCATCACCCTAATAAGGCAGTGGCTATGCACGCTACAAATTTATGTAATGATAATGCTGTGTCGCATTTT